TATTTATTTATTTTGAGACAGTGTGTGTGCACAAGCTGGGGAGGGGCAGAGAGAGAGATGGAGAGAGAGAATCCGAAGCAGGCTCCACACTGTCAGTGCAGAGCCTGACGCAGGGCTCGAACTCAAGAACTGTGAGATCATGACCTGAGCCGAAACCAAGAGTCAGACGTTTAACCAACTGAGCCACTCAGGCACGCCCATTTTTTTATTCAGAAAAAATAAATAACTGCAAGACAGACGCAGAAGGAGGTGGAACAGCCAGCTCACAGAGTAGATGCCCAGCATATGTTGGTGAATGATCCCAATAACTAAATGCCTCCCCATGAGCTCCCCTGCAGCCGCATCATCTGCCTGCAGGTAAACAAGAGAGGGAAGCATAACTCCAATGGGTTGTTTTGTAGCTGTCACCAAAGGCTGGGCTGGGGAAAGGAGAGAAGTTCTCTGGAGATTCCAGAGGCCCCTGCCCAGACTAGGCCTGCCTGACACAGGGGGCTGGGGCTACCTATGACCAGGTGGTAGGGGGTATGCTGTGCACACCCTGGAGAGCTGGCTGCTCCCTAGAGGCACACAGCTGAACCCCAGGACCGTCCTGAGGGCTGGAGAGGAAGCTGCAGAATTTCTGAAGGCCGAGGTCCTTCCTGGGCCCCTGCAGATCGACAGCAGTCTAGGAAGCTGCCCAGGTGGGAGTGTTGTTTTCTCCTTCCTTCTGCTGCACACCTGTGGAGCAGGGGGGCAGCTGGCATGGAGATTTAGAGTACAGGGTTTGAAATGATGCTGTCAGGGTTTGAATCTGCTTCTGCTCCTTCCTCACTGTGGCAGTCACTCAACCTCTCTGAGCCCCAGTTTCTTAATCTGTAAAATAGGGACCTAGCAGTGCCTCCTTCATAGAGCTGTTGGGGGTTAGTATCAGTTCACTGTGCAAAGCACTCCCCACGGAACTTGGCATATGTTAATGTGGACTGCTAGAGTTGGTAATTAGGCTCCTTGAAACCTGCATTCTCCCTCCCCTGCCAAAGGACCTGGTTGGGGTCTGTCCCTTCTCCAAGACTCTGAGGGGAGAGGAAAGTCCTGGCTCCTTCTCCTGCTCAGGAGTGAAAGGTGGGCATCCCACTTTGAGTTCAGAGAACTAAGTAACATTTAAGGAGTTTTTGTCTCAGGCAGGTGCTCGGGGTCACCTGGGAATGGGCAAGACTGAGGCAGCAATGCAGGAGGCTGTCAGGGTCAAGAAATGAGCTGTGGAGTCGCCAGAGCTGGGGAGCTCGGCTGTGCTACCTGAGCCTCAGTTTCCCTATATGCAAAACAGGCATGGGGGGCTGTCCTAGAAGGTCTCATGCAGGGCCTGAGAGCAAGGGAAGGTGGGAAGGAGCTGGACAATGATGTGGCTCCTGGTCAGATCCCAGGGGAAGGAGGCTCTGGAGTGGGAATCAGACCTGAGTCACCCCCCTGAGATGGAGGGCTAGGCTTTTGTGTCCTGTATAACTGAGCCATTGGAAGGAGGCATGACGTCCCCAGTGAGGAGGCTCCAACTGGCTGAAGTAATTTCTCTGGAGAAGGGAGCCATTAGTGACCAGCACTCATAGCAGCTGGGGGATGGGTGGCCAGCCAGCAAAGGGGATCTGGCTGGCTGAGAAAGTATCTGAAAAGCACTCATAACGGAACTGTGGCCACCACACAGTACTCACAAAGAGGACTCTCTCTCCCCAGATGGCTGCTCCTCCCACAACACAGCCATGGCTGTCGCAGCCCTGGGTGGCTTCCTCTACGTCCTGGCAGAATACCCCCAGCAAATGGAGAGCTGTGGCAGTCCGCACTGGCACGACCCAGCGGCCACTGAGACAAATGGTTCCACTCCTGCCCCTGGAAGATAAGACAGATGCCTTTAGTCCTTCCTCCCTTAAATCCTGGGTGCCTGGGTCATACCTTGACCAGGAGGTAGCTGAAGACGCAGACTAGCCAAGCAACCCAGCTTCTCCGCACGGAGCAGGGCCAGGGAAGGTGAGGCTGGGATGGATCCAGGCGTAGAAGCAGAGAAATAAATTCAGAGTGCCGTCGAGTGGGGAGTCGAGTGTTGTTTCTCAGCCGTGTGGACAGCTTCTGTTTCAACACAAATTCCAAGGAGACCCATAAACTTGAGCCTTAAAGGCAATTTATGCAGATGTCAACTGTTGTGTCTTTCCCAGTGGGAGAAATGAGGGTCTCCGAACCTGACAGTTGGAGTCATGACCGAACTTGAGATCTGACCACGAAAAGCAACACATAAACTCTTTGTACCCATGCAAGGAACTCTATGCTATCATGTCACAGCCTGTCACAGCCTTGTCATTTTACAGAAGGCAGTGTGACATAATGGTTAAAGATGAGGTTCTGTGTCCAGGCTGCCTTGAGTCCACATCCCAGCTGCCCCACCAAGTAGCTCCGTGTCCTTGGGCAAAGTCATTTAGCAGCTCTGTGACTCTGTTTCCTCATCAGGACAGTTGGGATCATTACAGCACCTACCTCCGGATTACTTGCAGTGCTGTGAGAATCATGTTCTTAGTGTCCTAAGAACAATTCCTGTAACATAATAAGTGCCAGGGGAGTGTTCCCTGCTTGTACTTCTTCCTTCGTGTTCTGCTTCATTGTGAGTATATCTAAACATGTCAGCTAGAATTCCTTTTTGTTTTCAATTAATTTATTTATTTTGTTGAAGTACAGCTGCCATACAATCTGCTGAAGCTCTGACACTAATCTAGTATTCAAGGAAAGGCCTTTGGAACATTACCACGGGTCCAGGTGGTGCTGTCTATGCTGCAGATTTCAGGCTACGTGCAGACGCATGTCAAAATGAGACTCTGGGGTAGAAAAATCAGCTAAAAACCCTGTCCTTGGGCTGGAAGTGTCTTTAAGTCCATCATCTTGTTTTGCCTCAAAGTGAAAAGTAGCTACTGATGGTCCTGATGTGATTATTTAGTTGTATTTGAGAACCTGAATTAAAACACCCAGGCTCCTTCTGTGCTCAGCTGAATAACCTGGTGGGGGCAGTGGTTCTTCTAAATCTTTTTCTTGGGAGTTAGTCTCCTCTGTCTAATCCTCTTTGCTTGTGCCCCTGGATGCTTTCCTGAAAGTGCTCTTAAATTGTCAGGCATGCCGAAACGGTCCTGGATTTCACTGACAAGTTTGACTTGCTTTCGAGTTGCTAGCTTTCTTGGGGAGCCAAGGGGCAGAATTTAATACCCACCTGGCACTCCATATGCTTCAAGGATTTCTCCCACACTATCCCACAAACCAAAGTTTACCAAGACAGGCACACAGCCTAGAGAGAGGTGGGGGGCACACAACAGGATTAGGAGGGGATTATGCCCCACCCCCATCCTTCCTGAATTGGGGGTGGATTAGTCACTGGGGCCTGACGCTGATACACGTTTAGAAGGTTTAAATTACCAAACTAGGGCAGGGGGGCCGGGGGCGGGGAGGGGGGGGAAAGGAGGAGGACTCTAGCAGACATCTGGGTCTGTAAGTCACTTTCAGGAAAAGAGAATCCTAATGCAGAATGGGGACATAGGAAGAAAAATTTGCAAGATGAACCCCTCTGAATTGTGACTTCCTTGCATCACGGTTGCTGCAGGGCACCAAGAAGAGGTAAAAACACCAAAGGATGGATCTCTTTATCACTCCCGCACCCCAGACCTCAGCTTCTTATTGAAGATAAATTACATGAGCACGTAACATGATGTGGAGGTGGGCCTTCATTTCCCATTCTTTGTTTTTTTCATGTTTATTTATTTTGAGAGAGAGCACACAAGAAGGGAAGGGGCAGAGGTGGGGGGAGAGGGAGAATCCCAAGCAGGCTCCGCGCTGCCAGCTCAGAGCCCAACGCAGGGCTTGAACCCACAAATCGTGAGATTATGACATGAGCCGAAACCGAGAGTCGGACAGTCAAGCGACTGAGTCACCCAGGTGCCCCTCCCATATTCTGAACACTGTCGTTCTATCCAGTACCAGGACACTGCCTTCCCAGAGGAGTTTCTCAATGTGTGGCCTGTGCAGCTGGCATCAGAACCCGCTGGGGAGCCTTGTTAAACATGCAGATTCCCCACCCTGCCTCTAGAGATTCTCATTCAGCCACCGGGAGGGGGCCTGGGAACGTGCCTCTCTGACAAGCTCCTAAGGGACACTGATGCTCACCAAGGCTGAGAACAGTGGGGTCTCCAAGGCCTGGACCTGTATGATATCAAGGGATATCTACAGTTAGATAAGGGGCACATCTAGGGTGGTGGCCTTGACCGTGTACATCCAGAGGCATAAGTAATGTCTCTTCCATCACATGCTCCTCTACCCTGCAAGATTCTTTCGGCTGGTCTAGAAATTAAGTTGACATTAATAGAAGAAAAAAAAAGTTCAATAACATGCATACTGCCTGTATACGTGAGAGAGACCCACTCCCCACAATGATCTAAGGTATCACTTTAAATACCATCTCCAGCTAAAGACAAAAGAAGATGTTGGGGATGAGCCTCTCATTTATGAGAGGCTCCCGGGGAAAGCACAGGAAACAAGAGTAGATTTAAGCCCATGCTGTCTCTATTGATAACAGTTTCTGGAGATTTATTTATCCATCCCCCTCTTTCTGCTTGTGACAGAGAGAGACATCCCTACAAAAGGGTGTTTCCCTTATATGTATGAATATCTCTTACAAAAGGGTAAATTCTCAGTTTTCAGAGCATCTCTCATGTCTGAAGGTTCTTTTTTTTTTAATTTTTTTTTTAACGTTTATTTATTTTTGGGACAGAGAGAGACAGAGCACGAACGGGGGAGGGTCAGAGAGAGAGGGAGACACAGAATCGGAAGCAGGCTCCAGGCTCTGAGCCATCAGCCCAGAGCCTGACGCGGGGCTCGAACTCACGGACCGCGAGATCGTGACCTGGCTGAAGTCGGACGCTTAACCGACTGCGCCCCTCATGTCTGCAGTTTCTTAAAAATAACCAGCTGAAAATAATCAGTGCGCCAAAGAGGCATATCTTGGGGTGGCAAGATTTGCTCCCCTATACCTTCCTCAGTGCTCACACTCATCCACTGTGACTTTAGGTGCTCCAGCAATATTCCTGTCAAAAGTGTGTTCCATATAGGCCCCCTGTTCAAGATAAACAATTTCACTATAAAAGACTAATTCTGGTTAATAAATCATTGTGTTTTTTAAGCTTTTCCCTTTAATATGTAAATACGTACAGGAAAAGTTGTGAGCTCAAGCTTCAGAACCATCTGCCCCCTCTGCTTACAGCTGTGTGACCGTGGGTCAATAGCTTGCCCTCTCCGTGCCTCCATTTCCTTTTCCGTAAAATGGGCATCATAATAACACCCACCTTTAGGACTCAGGAGGAGATCTGATAAAATGGTGCAGGTTGGCCCCTCACACGCTGCCTGAGACTTAAATGAGCTCAGTGACTATTAGCAGTGAGTGAGTTTTCTCAGAAAACCCAGGATCCACACCACCTCCACCTCTGGGGTTTACTGGCAAATGATGTCATTCCCAGTGAAATACCACATCCATTCATTCAATAAATAGTAGCTGAGAACCTACTGTGTGCTAAGCTGTCCTCTGGACAAGGGAGATGCAGCTGAGAACAAACAAGGACCCTGTTCCCATCATTTATTTAAGAAATATCCATGAAATTCCTACTTTGCTCCAAGGACTGTGCCAAGTGCCAGGGGAAAGCAGTGAAAAGCAGACATAGTCTCTGTCCTGAGAGATGAAAGTCAAGGTGGGAGAGACATTAAGAAATCGGGGGCGCCTGTTTGGCTCAGTAGGAACATGCAACTCTTTTTTTTTTTTTTTAATTTACATCCAAATTAGTTTGCATATAGTGCAGCAACGATTTCAGGAGTAGATTCCTTAATGCCCCTTACCCATTTAGCCCAACCCCCCTCCCACAGCCCCTCCAGTAACCCTCTGTTTGTTCTCTATATTTATGAGTCTCTGGTGTATTGTCCCCATCCCTGTTTTGATATTATTTTTGTTTCCCTTTCCTTATGTTCATTTGTTTTGACTTTTAAAGTCCTCATATGAGTGAAGTCATATATTTGTCTTTCTCTGACTAATTTCACTTAGCATAATAGCCTCCAGTTCCACCCACATGGTTGCAAATGGCAAGATTTCATTCTTTTTGATTGCTGATTAATACTCCATTGTATATATATACCACATCTTCTTTATCCATTTATCCATCAGTGGGCATTTGGGCTCTTTCCATACTTTGGCTATTGTTGATAGTGCTGCTGTAAACATTGGGGTGCATGTGTCCCTTCGATACAGCACACCTGTATTCCTTGGATAACTACCTAATAGTGCAATTGCTGAGTCGTAGGGTAGTTCTATTTTTAGTTTTTTGAGGAATCTCCACACTGTTTTCCAGAGTGGCTGCACCAGCAGTGCAAAAGAGATCCTCTTTCTCCGCATCCTCGCCAACATCTGTTGTTGCCTGAGTTGTTAATGTTAGCCATTCTGACAGGTGTGAGGTGGTATCTCATTGTGGTTTTGATTTGTATTTCCCTGATGATGAGTGATGTGGAGCATTTTTTCATGTGTCGGTTGGCCATCTGGATGTCTTTGGAGAAGTGTCTATTCATGTCTTATGCACATTTCTTCACTGGATTATTTGTTTTTTGGGTGTTGCTTTTGATAAGTTCTTTATAGATTTTGGATACTAACCCTTTATGTGATATGTCATTTGCAAATATCTTCTCCCATTCTGTCGGTTGCCTTTTAGTTTTGCTGATTGTTTCCTTTGCGGAGCATGCAACTCTTGATCTCGGGGTTTTGAGTTTGAGCTCCATGTTAGTTGCAGAGAGTACTTAAAAATAAAACTTGGGAAAAAAAAAGAAAAGAAACAGTTATAATCAATCAGATTGCACTTGTGGTGGGAAAGACGGGGTGCACTGCTTAGACATGGTATTCTTTCCTTCAGTCGATAAGCTGACAGTAATGCATAAGCATTGCTCATGCTCTGGATGAAAGAAACACAAGATACTTGCTATATTCCATGTCCTGCCAGAGCTTAGAGCTCTCAGTCAGAGACTGCTGAATGCATGAAAAAAATAAGCAGCAACAGAAGAGGCATCTTCGGGAAATGTGTGCTCAAAAGCTGAAAAAAGTGGATAAACTCACGGGCAGCATGTGGACGGAGGACAGAGGAAGAGGTCCAATCCCCAACCCCCATTCATTCAGCGTCTAGCTTCAAACCCTCTCATGCTATTTGCAGTCACTCCCTGCTCCCAGCCACAACTACAGGCAACCACTAATCTGCTTTCTGTCCTTCCAGATTCGCCTTTTCCAGACACTGAAAACAAGTGGAACCACACAACAGAACTTTTGGGGGTGATGAAAACGTCCTAAAATTGGACTAAGATATGCTATCTCTGCAACATCTACTGAAAATCATTGACACGTACACTTTAAAACAGTTAAATTTTATGGTATGTAAATTATACCTCAATAAAACCATTATATAAAAAAAAACAAAAACAAAAACACACAAAAAAACCCCAAGATCTTCCAGTAGCTTCCTGTTTCCACTTAGGCTGAAATCCAAATGAATTTCCCTGGAGCCGTGCAGGATCTGGCGTTGGCCTGACCCTTCCTCCTCTACCCTCCCCGACCAAGCTCCAGCCCATCTCCCGGCTCTATAGTGCCCTCTGCTTGTGAGGCTCTGGCCCTGCATCTCCCACAGCTGTCCCTTTTTTCTGGTCCCTTATTACTCAGTCTACAATGTGCTTCGAGAGGCCTTCCCTGCCACCTCCCCCTAAGACATGGTTCTTTCTCCATCCTGCTTCTTCCCACCACACTTGGGTTGTTTAGTGTGTGTCTCCACGAGGGCAGGGCCAAGCTGTCTGTTTCATCAGCCTCTAGCACAGAGGAGGCACTCAATCTGTTGAATACCCAAGTGACTATACAGCCAGATGAGGATGTTGAGAAGAGACAAAGGTACTCCTAAGGAAGGATAAATGTGAGCAGAGGAGACAGCCCTGAGTTAGTTAGCTGGAATGGACTGAACTGTGGGTTCGGGCTTGTTGAAAGATAAACTGAGGCATATTAAAAATGTTAAGGGTTTATTTGAGCAAAAATCAATTCAAATACAGCAGTACCAAATTGAAGTGGAGAGGAGCCAGGGGAAAGACCTCAACAAAGAAAGCGAGAAAATAAAGACAGGAAATTGGTTGCCTATAGTTTAATGCCTAGTTGGCTGTTAGTTAAAGCTGTTTGTAAATGGCCATTCTTAGCATTTTGGTTTCATAACCTTGAAGCATTTACAGTCTTGGGTTCTCGTTTGCTTCTGTAAGCAGTGTTAAAGAAAAAGAGGTGCACCTGGCTGGCTCAGTTGTGTAGCGTGCAACTCTTGATCTCAGGATCCTCAGTTCGAGGGTCACGTTGTATGAAGAGAGGAAAAAAAGAACGAGAGAAAGAGAGAGAAACAAAGAGAGAAACAGAGAGAGAGAGGGAGAGAAAGGAAGGAAGGAAGGAAGGAAGGAAGGAAGGAAGGAAGGAAGGAAGGAAGGGAGGAAGGGAGGGAGGAAGGAAGAAGAGAGACAACGGGCCCCAAATAGAGTCACATATGCCAAGCCCCACGTCAGCAAACCAAGACTTAATACCTAACTTAACTGCAGTTTCAGCCTCTTCCAGGAATGAAAGTTGTAACTCCAGTCTGGAGTAACCTGGTCAGCACTAGTGAAGTCATCTACAAGATAGGCCCCTGCCCTTCCCCCAACGGAAGGTGAAGTTGCCAGAAACAAACTTTCTTTGTCTCACTCCCTGTCTGCCTATAAACGCCTTTCATTTTATACGACTCTTTGGAGCTCCTTTCTATTTGCTAGATGGAATGCTGCTTAGTTCATGAGTCGTTGAATAAAGTCAATTTGATCTTTAAATTTACTCAGTTGAATTTTGTTTTTTAACAGCAGCCTTGGCATAAAGCCACATCAATCCGATGGCCTCCTTGTTTAATTAATGTCATAGGCTTCTCAGCAAATGGAGAATTTCAATAGCACATATGTGCTTAGATATTATGTGCATATTATGTGTTTGTTAAAGGAGTGACAAAGCTGGGAGGAGACCAAAGGTCAGAACTCACTAGAGACTGCCTGCACCCACATCGCCCAGTTGACCTAGAGAAAAGAAGACTTCCTGGGGCAAGGAAGCTGGTGGCAGGTCTGGGTTTGTTTGCTAATGATTTTTGACTCCTGGATGTAAAGATAAGAAAGACATAATCCCTTCCCATCAATATATTTGCATCAAGCTGGATCATTTAACCCCAGAAAGGAAGTCATTTTGAATGTGGTTAACTGACTTGAACTAACTTGTTCCCCCACAAGCCTCAGAGCCACTGTTGGGGGTTCATGTGAGGGCTTTGACTGTATCAGTTCCAAAATTAAAGTGTCAGCAGGGCTATTCTCCCTCTGAATTCTTGACGGAAGAATATGTTTCTCTCTCCTAGCTTCTGGTAGTTACCAGAAATCTTTGGTGCTCTTTGACTTGTAGTTGTATTGGCAGTCTCTGCCTCTTTCTTCACATGGCTTTCTTTCCTCTGTGCATGCCTCTCTCTGTGTGTCTTCTCACAAGGACACCAGTCAGGCTGGATCTAGGGCCCACCCAATTCCACTATGACTTCATCTTCATGAATTACATCTGCAAAGATCCTATTTCCAAAGGTCACATTCTGAAGTTCTGGGAAAGATGTGAATTTGGGGGAACACTATCGAATCCAGTACACTGACCCTAACTGGCTTTAGGGGGCAGTGGTTCAAAGAGGGGTCTGAGGTCAGGCACTAACCACGCTGACTGTGAACCAAAACAGGCTGGTGGCTGGTGGCTGGTATGGCCCTGAATACCTGTGCACGAAAGGCTAACTCAACTCGTACTGTCTCCAAGGTGGCCTATACGTTGCACTGGCACCAAAAGGCAACCTAACTCTGGCCACTGCCCTGGACCAGAAGCCCAAAGAGAAGTATTCCCTCAAAGGAAGTTTGAAGTAAAGTAACTGGCCAGCTTCGTGGACTTCTGACCTGTGCAGGTACAGAGGGCCTGCACAAGGATGGGTCCCGTGCTTGCGTTCACACTCTGCTGTCTCCATCTTAAAATTCTTAATTTTTAGGGGCACCTGGATGGCTCAGTTGGTTGAATGTCTGCCTCTTGGTTTCGGTTCAGGTCATGATCTCACAGTCGTGAGACTGAACCCCTCATCAGGCTCAGCTCAGAGCCTGCTTGGGATTCTCTCTCTCTCTCCCTCTCTGCCCTTCCCCTGCTTGTGCTCTCTCTCTCTCTCTCTGTCTCTCTCTCAAAGTAAACAAATTTAAAAAAAGAAATTCCTTAAAAAATTTTTTTAAATGTTTGTTTATTCTTGAGAGGGGGGAGGGACAGAGAGAGGGACACAGAATCTGAAGCACACTCCAGGCTCTGAGCTGTCAGCACAGAGCTCTAAGCTGGCAGAACTCACCAGCTGAGCTCTGAGATCATCACCTGAAGTCGGAGGCTTAACCGACTGAGTCACTCAGGCGCCCCCGAAAAAAAAATTTCTTAATTTTTAAATAAAGATCCCTGCTGATTATGTTCTCAATGCAACTTGTCTGTCCTCTTCCAAAATGTGAAGGTCATAGAACACCGAGGCTGAGAAACTGTTCCAGAATCAGGGAGACTAAACAGACATGACAACTAAATGCAACTCCTGTATTAGACCCTGGACGTGGGGGAAATAAGGACATCATACAGAAAATTGGAAAAACTTGAATGTGAACTGTGGATTGGTTCACAAACTATCAGTATGTAATGTCTTAATTTTACTCGGCCTGTGATTATGTAAGAAGATGTCCTTGTTAGTAAAAGATGTCTGCAACTTGGTTGCAAATGTTCGGGGGCGGGGGCGGTAAGTATACGAATAAAGTTGAAATGATAAACCAAATGAGACGAAAGTTAACAATTGGTAAAGATAAGCAGAAGGCATATGGGAGTTCTTTACATTACTCTTACAACCTCCGGTATCTTTGAAATTACGTAAACACGAATTTTCCCACCACCATGAGTGCCACGCCTCTTCTGAAAAAAACCAAACCAAAACAAAAAAAAAACACAGTAAGTGATAGGACCGGATCTCGCGATATCCAAAGGACCCTAAATTATTCTGTCCCGCCTGAAAGCGGCCACCAAAAGCCTTGAGTCACGTGGGGTGGTCCCACGTGATTGGAGGTCCCGGGTCCAACATGGCGGCCTCCATGGGTCGCTGGCTTGTCTTCCTCTTTGCGCTGCTCGGCTTCCTCCGGGAGGCGACCAGCAGCCTCGGCTCGGGGTGAGTACAGCTCCCGAGGGTTGAGCCTGGTTCGGGAGTACTCCGCCCCTGAGCCCTCCGAGCTCACGGCCGCCGTGTCCCCACAGGGCCTCCCGCGACGATGACTTGCTGCTGCCCTACTCCCACGCGCGCGCGCGCTTCGCCCGGGACTGCACGAGGGTGCGCGCCGGCAGCCGCGAGCACGAGAGCTGGCCACCTACCCCGGCGACCCCCAGCCCCCGCGGTCTGGCGGTCCGCACCTTCGTTTCACACTTCTCGGACCGCGCGGTGGCTGGCCATCTGACGCGGGCAGCGGAGCCCCTGCGTACCTTCTCGGTGCTGGAGCCCGGTGGGTCCGGCGGCTGCGCTTCGAGGCGCCGCGCCACCGTGGAGGAGACGGCGAGGGCGGCTGGCTGCAGCGTCGCCCAGAACGGCGGCTTCTTCCGCATGGACACGGGCGAGTGCCTGGGGAACGTGGTGAGCGACGGGCGCCGGGTGAGCAGCGCCGGGGGGCTGCAGAACGCGCAGTTCGGGATCCGCCGCGACGGGACCCTGGTCACCGGGTGAGAAAGCAGGGAGCCTCGTTACTGTCGAAGGCAGAGGACCTGAGATTTGGGTTGTGGCCATGGTGGTGTGTTCAGGTCATTTACCAAAGCTGAGCCTCGGCGTCCATTCTGCAGAATGGGAATAGGCACTTTAATTGCAGGGTTCGTCAGTAGGCATCGGGTGGTATTTTGGCCAGAGTGATGGCCTAGGAAATTAAAGGCTATAGGATGAACTTGAGATCTGCTGAGAATGGTTGTTTATATTAGATGAAGTGTTAACTGGGATGGGTAGACTATTTACAAGGGCTGCACTAAGGGCCAGGATGGTTCCTGGGAAACCAGGAAGAATCAACCAGCCCAGCTGAGGAGGGAAGGGTAGTGGGACCCCTACTAAACGCAGCTGTCCCTGCTGCTGAGTGAATCTCTGGCCTTTTATGTGTCCAGGTACCTGTCTGAAGAGGAGGTGCTGGACACTAAGAACCCATTTGTGCAACTGCTGAGTGGGGTCGTGTGGCTGATCCGCAATGGAAGTGTCTACATCAACGAGAGCCAGGCGGCCGAGTGTGATGAGACACAGGAGACAGGTTTGGGGTTAGACAGGTTGTGGCACAGCCCTGTTGAGAACAGGACCACTGAGCTGGAGCAGGAGTCTGTTCTTAAGTCTTTGAGCAAGTACTATTCTAGGTACAGAGGATCCGTGGTGATTATGACAAAATAAGGTCTCTGCTCTTGGGGCATACTTAAGAAAGGAAATAGATACTTTTCTATTGAAAGGAAGTGGTAAGTGCTTCTTTTTTACAGAAATTAAGATAAAAGGAAGTGGTAAGTGCTTTCTTTCTATTGAAAGGAAGTGGTAAGTGCTGAGGAAGAAAAGTAAAGTTGGGGGAAAGGGGACAGGTAGAGGAAAGGAGGTCTGAATCAGAATCCTGATTTCCTGCGCATGAGGCCCAAATGTGTGTTTTAACAAGCCCCCTGGGTAATTCTGATGGGCTCTCCAATTTGAGAAGCGCCAAGGTGTGGAATAATGGGGTGTGAAAGGATGCTATGGCCCTGATGTGGAGATGAGCTGTTTTAGACTGAGCAGTCAGGGCAGGCTTCACTGAGGAGATGCCCTAGATTGGAAATAGCAAACCATGGGAAGAGCTGAGGGGAAGCACAGTCCAGCCAGAGGGAACAGAAGGTGCAGAAGCCCTAAAGTAGAAAGTGGCTGCAGGGTGGTGAGAAGGGAGCCCCCAGAGATGAGGTGGAACAAGCAGGCCAGGGCCTTGGATTTTTGTGCTGGGGACAGTGGAAGCTATTAGAGGGTTTTCCCCTGGAAGCTGATGTCACTTAATTTTCACCTGAGAAGAGCCCTCTGGCTACTATGTGGAGACTGAGTGGGATGGGGCAGATGGGAGGCAGGAAGCTGCGATCTAAGTGAACTGTTGGAGAGTGGCATTAGACTGGCAGAAACTACAGGCAGAATCCAGGAGGCTTCCCACAGGGTGAGGTCATCAGCCAGACTTCTTCTCTTGTAGGTTCTTTTAGCAAATTTGTGAATGTGATGTCAGCCAGGACGGCAGTGGGACATGACCGGAAGGGACAGCTGGTGTTCTTCCACGCAGATGGGCAGACGGAGCAGCGGGGGTGAGTGCCGGAAACTGGGAATGCCAGGCCTGGGCTGAGTCCGGCTTTGAGGGACTTCAGCCCACCGACAACTGCCCTTCTGACTCCCAGCTGTTCCCTGGGGATGTTCACATCCCTCTGTCCCCTGCCTTCCCACACGAAAAGAGTCCCTACGTCTGCCCCAGTTCTGAGAACTCCTCATCCTCCACACTCTTCCTCTCCATCCCCCCAACTTAGGCCTCCTCTCTCCTGCGCTCCAGATGGGGTAATAGGAAGTAATTACAAAGTTGGCAGGGAGAAGACCTCTGTTCCAGTCTCAGCTCTGCTGTCCACTAGCTCTGTGGCCACAGACAAGTCGTTCAGCCTCTCTGAGGCCCAGTTTCTTTCTCTGTGAAGAGACTGTATTAGTTTGTTATTTGCTGAGTAACACACAAGCACAAACAGCCCCCATTTGTTAGATCACAGTTCTGTAGGTCAGAAGTCTGGAGGGCTCAACTGGGTTCTGTGTTTGAGGTATCTCCTGGACAAAATCAAGCTGTTTTCCAGACAGGGCTCTCATCTGGAGCTTCAGGGAAAGAATCCTCTTCCCAGCTCATTTGGGGGGTTGGAAGAATGCACTTCCTTGGGGTTGTAGGACAGAAGTCTGTATTTCTTCACTGGTTGTTGGCCAGGGGACCTTCAGCTCCTTCAGGCTGCCCACATTCCTTCCCATGCATGTACCCTCCCTGTCTTCACGCCAGCAAAGATGTGTCCCGTCCCTTTGCTCCCTTTGTATTTCCAAAACCTCTCACTTCACCTTCTGCCACCAGCCAGGGAAAGGTGTGCTTTTAAGACTCTTGTGATCCCATCGGGCCCACCCATAATCCAGGGCAGTGTCCCTACTTGCAGACAGCTGAGCCGTACAAGATAACACAGTCATGGGAGTGATTTCCCATTATATTCACAGCTCCCGGGGATTAAGACAGGCCATTATTGGGGGGAGCCCACTTAGAAATTTGTCTGCCATAGCAAGTGTGATACTGTTCACCATGGAAAGTAAGACCAGTTAAACTGGAAACGCTGGTGGACATGGTCAGCATTAATGCTCTTATGCTGCAGCATTAACCTGTGGGAGATGGCAGAGTTTTTGCTGAAACAGGATGTGGTCAACGCCATCAACCTCGATGGAGGGGGCTCCGCTACCTTCGTGCTCAATGGGACCTTGGCCAGTTACCCATCAGATCACTGGTAAGCATGCCACAGCCCCCTTCTTGAGGTCTTCTGTCCAGGCCTGTCCCCAGCTGTCTCGTTCAGCAAATATTGAGTACCTACTATGTGCCACGCCCTGAGAATTCAGCAGTGAGCAGGAAGAGCCAAGATCCCTGCTTCTCACTGCTTACAAGAAGAGTGTTGAATCATACATAGTGTATGAGTACCATCCACACCAGTGAAAGGGGGTTGATAGGTCAGGAAAGACCTCTCTGAGCGTAATGGAACTTGACTTGAGATCTAAAGGTTGGGGAGGTGGCAAGGCTGGTCTGGGAGATCCTTCTGGGCAGAGAGAACAGCGTGTGTAAAGGCCCTGGGGTTGGAAGAGATTGTCAGGGTGGGATGAACCTATAAGCGGCTGGAGAAGGGGCAGTGGAGAGAGAGAGGCATCCCCCAGGGGCTACAGTAGGGGGTAGAAGGTTTAGCTGGGGCTCACCAGCACCATGGCCTCTCTTCACACACGATGTCCCCCTGCAGCCAGGACAACATGTGGCGCTGTCCGCGCCGCGTGTCTACTGTGGTGTGTTTGCACGAGCCCCGCTGCCAGCCGCCTGACTGCAGCGGCCATGGGACCTGTGTGGAGGGGCGCTGCCAGTGCACGGGGCACTTCTGGCAGGGCGCTGCCTGCAACAAGCTGGACTGTGGCCCCTCCAACTGCAGCCAGCGCGGGCTTTGCACAGAGAGTGAGTGGGGTCTCTGGGGAGGCAGCTGTGACCGGGGCTCCCAGCTCTCACTGCCTTGGCCCTGCCTGATCCCTGACCTGGCCTTCTTGGTCTTGTCTTGGCAGCTGGCTGCCGCTGTGAAGCTGGATGGACGGGGTCCAACTGCAGTGAAGGTAAAAGCCAGCAGGCCAGCTGCCTCCCCGGCCCTGGACACATGGGGAGAGGGCAAGCGTGGCAGCTGCTTTTATCCCGCTCCCTATGTCTTCCTCTCACCTGGCTAAATCATTGCATTGATGTCCTGCAGCAGCCACAACAAATTCCACAAACTGCATGGCTGAGAACAACAGAAATTCATTCTCTCACAGTTCAGGAGGCCACAGCTGCAAAACTCATGGTGTCTGCAGGGCCGGCACTCCCTCCAAAAGGTCTAGGGGAGGCTCCTTCCTGCCCCTTCCAGCTCCTGGTGGCTCCAGGCATTCTTTGGCTTGCGGCCACGTTACTCCAGTCTCTGCCTCTTCACACGGCCTTCTCCCTGTGTCTGTCCATTTCCTTACGTGGATCCCAGGTCATTGGATTTAGGGCCTACCCTAAATCCAGGATGCTGTCATCTCTTAAAGATTATAACTTAATTACATCTGCAAACACTCCGTTTCCAAATAAGGTCATGTTCACAGGTTCTGAGGATTAGGACATATCTTTTGGGGGGCACAGTTCAACCCACTGCAACTATCCACAGTTTGAAATCTTTCAGGGCTTCCTTTTGAGTAAGTGGAAGAAATGAGCTCCTCAGCCTGAACTGCCAGGGTGCTCCAGAGCCTCCTCTACTCACTGACCCAGCTCTGCTCTGCGAACCCCCAGCTTAAGTGCCCTGCCCTCGGGGGCTTGCCCATCCCACCCCCTCCCGGGGTCTGCTGCTGCGCTTGGTCCCATCCCTCCTGCACTTGTCCTCACCTGTACTTCCATATCTGCTTTGCGGCTCACTGGCCACCTGCCCATCTAGACGAGAGTCTCCATGAGTGCATAGCCTCAGGGCCTGCCTGGAAGTAGAACTGTCCGTAACTTTCTGTTGGAAGAATACGTGAGCCTACAGGGTCCTGGGTGTGACCGAGATCTGTCTACGGTCTTGGCCCCCAGCCTAGCAAAGGCAAGGCTGGACTTTGAAAAGACTCCCCCCTTCCCCCCTCCAGCCTGCAGCAATGGCTCCTTCGGGGAGGACTGCGCCATGAGGTGCCAGTGTCAGAATGGAGCTGCCTGTGACCCAGTTGGGGGGACATGCACCTGCCCTCCTGGCTTCACTGGACATACCTGTGAGCAGGGTAAGCTACATGGGCCCCATGCCACCCAGGGGTACCTCCAGGGCCTAGCCTGGGGGGGCCTGGGGGGCATTTGTGCTTCAGCCCAGTTCTGCGCACACCTGGGGTCCATCCTGTCAGTGCAGAGAGAGGCCTTGCCACCGAGGCGTCCTCCACTTGTACCTCCTCTCCGCAGAGTGTCCCCTCGGCTGGCACGGGCCAGGCTGCCAGAGGCATTGCGAATGTGAGCACCAGTGTCCGTGTGACCCCCAGACCGGCAGCTGTAGCCTGGCCCAGGCGCCAGCCCTTAACAGCATCCTCTCCCAAGGTGCGGCTCCTCCCAGATCCCCGGGGGGCAGGAGGGGGCATACCCCTCCCCTCCCAGCCTCTCAGCCTCTCCCTGATGTCTTACAGTGAAGCAGTGTTTCCGGCCATCCGAGGCCACCCTGAGGACAGGAGAACTCTCCCTTCTCACCGGGTAGGAGATTAGGTGGGACTTGGGGCGGGGATGGAAGAAATCCCCCCTCCCTCCACCTGTGAGGTATGGCCTTTGCTCAGGGACGAGGCAGGGCTAGGAAGTAGCCGCTGGGCACCCAGATGACATTTCTCCACTGTGAACACAGAGGGCGTCACAGCTGATGCTCACAGCCACTGAAGTGGTCCTCAGAAATGGTGAGAAGGACCCCAGTCATCATCCCAGTTGGAGTTGAGTGGGGCAGGGCACGGGGTTCCTTTCCCTGGCGGTGAGACTCATGACCTATTTTCTCAGCTCCTGGTACACAAGTGCCAAGCCTGAGGAATTCACATACTTCCTCAGCCACTTCCGGGTGCTCCTTGTGGTGGGCTTTATGTCTGTTTTCTAGTGAGGTGGATCTCAAACTTGACCTCTGGGAGGGTGCATTAAAAGAGATTGCTGGATTCTATCTCTGGAGTTTCTGCTTCAGTAAGCCGGGGGAGCCTGAGAATCTGCATTCCCGGTGCTATCCCAGGTGATGCTATGCTGCTGGTATGGGGACCCTGCTTTGAGAACTTCCCAAAGGTAGTTCTCACCTCATGGTCCAACTCTGGGTGCCAGCCCAGCCCCACCCGCGTTGGAGGTGGGAATCAAGTGTGGGTATGAATGAAAATCTCCTGGCATTGTCCTTTGGGTCAGTCTCCTCAATAATGCAGGTCCCAGGTCCCTCCTGGAGGTCCTGACCTGGTGAGTCTGGGGTGAGGCTCTGAAAGGCCAGAGCCACACCTGAAAAAAAAAAACAAAAAAACATAGAAATGTGCTTTGAAAATGCACCCAGAGCAGGGACAGGGGCCCCGGGAGCACCCTGGCCTCAGTCTTAAGTTCGGGCTCCTCAGTTGTGAGACTGAGCTCTTCCTCCCCAGTGCAGACATAGAACCCATTGGCAGCTGTCGGGGAAGGAAGGGGAGCCATGGAGGGCTAACGACCATGCCCCCCAGCAATCTGCGTGTGTCTCTTTTTGTGTTGAGGGCTTTGGCCACAGATTCACGTGAAGGAATGCAAGGATCATTGGAAGCCCTCGCCAGCTCCACAGGAGGGAGGCAGGGGTGCTGTTCTCCACACTCTGTCTGCTTTGAGGTGTCTGGAACAGAGACCAGCCTTTGTGGTCCACATCATCATTAGATCCCCAACTGTATTTTATTTGGCCTGCATAATTTTAAAAAATTTAAGATTTATTACAATATCTGAAAATCAGTAACATTGATATTAAAAAATTGTTTTCTTGGTTTCTTTTGAAATATCAGGGGATGTGGCAGTGCTGGCCTGCATCCCACACGGTGACTGTCACTGCTGCTCCTGGAGCATGGGTTTGGAATGTGCCCCTGGCCCTACCAGGCCCATTTTGCTCCTGGACAGTCCCCTGGAGGTCCCTGACTTTGTGCCTCCCTTCTGGTGGAGGAGAGGGAGGGAAACCCCTGCAGCACTCCTCAACAACCGCCTGTTCTGGCTTTCTCTTCTGCACCCAGGACCACCTGGCTGGCCCTCACCTTGGCCCTAGTTTTCCTTCTGCTGATCAGCACGGTGGTGAACGTGTCCTTGCTCCTTGGTTCAAGAGCAGAGCGGAGCCGGCATCTGGATGGGGCCTATGTTTACCACCCCCTGCAGGAGATGAATGGGGAGCTCCTGGCCGGGGAGAAGGAACAGCAGGGTGATGCCCACAACCCCTTCAAGGACTGAAACCTCCAGCTTCCCGTCAAAGCCTGCTCTGAAGGCTCATTTTGTTACGGTCTGACTTCCACAAGGGACGTTTCAGGACCGCTGACCATCTGGGTGATCTCAGCCCTGGTGCCAAGCCAAGCTTCTGATAGCACCTGTGCCTCAGCCCCTCATCTGGCCCTGGGCTCTCACCTGCTGTGACCCATGCAACCCTAGCAATACAGTGCTCCCTGGAGAGAGACTGCTCCTTCCCTGCCTGCCTGTGTCTGCTGCCTGTGAGGGCTGCTCTGCTGCCCAAGAGCCTCCGGCCTCCTGAAGCAGGCGCTGTTAGCGATGGAACTCGCCGTGACCGCACCATGTCTGAGTGGCAGGGTCCAGCCAGCCCCCCTGGGCAGGGGTGGATTAAAGAGACGATGGCTACGTCACGGGATCCTTTTCCACAGACCTCATCATGGAATTTGCCGATTAGAATTCTGTTTCCTATCATAGGAAGCTCCTTGGAGGGGACAGGGGATGAAATCATGTTTACAAGCTTTCTATTTTGGCATCCAGCCGCCAAGACAGTTTTTCTACCACTTGAATAAATTGATGTAATTAAAGGATCCCCGGGGTGGCATCTGAATCCTGAATTGTAGACTTCTGGTTGTTCCTAGGTCTTAACATGTAGGGTTACTTCACTTGATTCATGGGTCATAAAAAGGCAGCCCAAAGTACTTAGAGCTCCCTGATCTATTTGTTTAATTCAGGGCTTCTCACTTTATGGGGCACACAAGTCACCTGGAGATACTGTTCAAGTGCCAATTCTGGCCCAGGGTGGGATACGGGAGTCTGAATCTCTGACGAGCGCCCAGGTGAAGACGAGGTCTTGGGTGTCTGGACCACACTTTGAAAGGAAAAGGTTTAGTCCACTGTGATTTAATAGTTACCAGCATTTAAAAATCAAGAGATTAACAACTTAAGATTTCTGATTTCTTTTTATTTTTAATATGTTTATTTAGTTTTGAGAGAGAGAGCATGCAAGCAAGTGAGGGGCAGACAGAGGGAGACACAGAATCCAAAACAGCCTCCAGGCTGTCAGCACATAGCCCAACACAGGGCTGGAACCCACGAACCTCAAGCTCATGACCTGAGTCGAAGTTGGATGCTTAACCAACTGACCCACCCAGGTGTTCCTGGATTCTTTTTAAAAGAGGGCAAGGCAGCAGCCCCTGCTGAAGCCTTTCCAGGGCAACATCTTGCCAGAGCTGAGAATCCACAGTCCCCATCTGGGCCTGCCTTCTCCAGCTCACCACCACCTTAGCGACCTGTGACCTGCCACCCCTGTGAGTATCTGAGTTTGTAACCTGTGGCCCCAGAGGGTTTCCAGGAAGTGCCTGGCAGCCCCCCCCCCGACCCCCTTCCCCCGGATATACATTACACTGTGTTTAGCAGATATTTTGGGGGTGGGGGATGTGCTCTCAGCAGATCCTCAAGTAGACTCATGCACATTAGAAACTGGATATGTCTCCCCAAGAATCCTGTATTGAAGCCCTAACATCTCCCCGCCCCCACCACCCATGTGATGGTATTAGGAAGTGGCCTTTGGTTTAATTAGGTTTTGATGAGGTCGTGCGCATGGTCCCCTCGTGACGGGATTAGCGCCCTTACAAGGGAAAGAGAAGAGCACCCTCTCCACACACGCACACGAAGAGGAGGTTGTGTAAACACACAGAAAGCTGGCAGCTGTCTACAAGCCAAGAAGTGGGACCTCACCAAGAATTGAATTTGCCGGCACCCTGCTCTTGGACTTCCAGCCTCCAGAGCTGTGAGAAATAGATGTCTGTTGTGTTCAAGCCGCACAGTGTATGGTATTCGTTATAGCAACTTGAGCAGACTGAGACATGGTATAACTTAGTAGTTACTTCGTGCTGCATCACCAGTCCAAAACTTGGCAGCTTAAAACAACAACCAGTTATTGTTTCTTGTGGAAGAATAATTATTTTTCATGATTCTAGGGCCAGCTAGGGGATTCTGTTGATCAGTGGTTTCAGCTGGGCTCATTGGTTTGTCTGCAGTCAGCTAATGGGCCTACTGGGGGCTGGTCTGGGGTGGCCACAGCTGATGACATAGTGCCCCCCAGTGCCTCATCCTCCAGGAAGCTGGCTCAGCCTTGGGATCCAGGTGGGGACTGGGATCCTGGAAGAGGATCCTGCAAGGCGTTTTGAAGCTTCAGCTCGGAACTGGTGTGACCTCACTTTCACCACATTCTGTCAGTCCCCAGATTCAAGGTGAAAGGAGACAGACTCCACCCCTTAGAGGAGATACCAAGGGACATGAGTCCAGGAGGCTAATCGAGCCCATCCTGCAGTCCATCTACTGTACTGCTGGTTTAGTTTCACTTTAGAAAGGAAGAATTTGGTTCAGAGAAGTGAAGTGTCACAGGCCAGTTCCCAGACTCCCAAGTTCCTGCAGGGATGTGTCTGTGGGTCTGTGTGTGTTTCTGTCTCTCCCCCAAAGATGGAGGGATGGACGAGTTGAGAGCCGCTGTGCCAGCCTGTGTATACTCCTTCCAAGATGCTACATTTGGGTTCTATGGTGGGAGCCACAGACCAAGTTGTTGGTATTCTTGGGCATAGCTGAACCCACACCTAGTGAACCATCACCCAAAGGCCATGGTACCCCTGACCAGGCTGCTGTAATTTCTCCCTCTTAGCTCAGCCCCTCTTCTGGGTTTGTGACCCAGGTTGGAAGGAAGGGAGGGGTGGCATTCACAGCATGTGCAGGAATTCGAGGGTAGCTGCTTATCCAGGGAAGCAGGCAAATTGAAGGAAGCTTCAAGTTTTAACTCCTCCTTCCAGAAATGTAAACAACCAACTTGACATGTTCCTCCAGGGCCCGTGTGTTTCAACTCCACCTGGAAGTCTCATTGTGTGTTTTACCTTCTTTCAGTGCACAGCTGGCCCCTGGGCCACTTGGATGTTTGGCTCCCAGTGTTCGAGGGTAGGAAGTAGTGACAAGATGGAGGACTTCCCAGACACCTTTGCATCACAGTGGCATATTCCTAAGACCATTCCCAAGCGTGGATGCAGGTCAGAGGGTAGTCCCCAGGAATGTTCTAGGATTGCAGATCCTGTCCTAGACCCACTGAATCAAAATCTTGGGGGCAGAGGGTCTGGGAATCTATTGGGAGCACCTCCAGGGGTTCTGAGGCAACAGGCTGTAGAAACCCTAGTCCGGAAAGCTCTGGCCTCTTCAGAGGGCATCTCCATCTGTCCTTGGCTTTGCTGGCAGCTGAGTTGGGAAGGTACAGTACTGTGCATGGGCTTGGTGGATTTCAGGCCAGAGGGAGCTGAAGAGGGTCCGTCATGGTGAGCCAGAGGGGTCCCTGGCTCAGTGACTAGGATACATTCACCCTCCCTGTTTGTAGGGGTATCTATCATGCCTGCCCAACATCTAGGCCTGTCCTTTTAGTAAATGCCCTGTCTTGGGCTGGATCCCTCCCAGCAACAGAACCTGAGACAAAGATGTGAGGGGAAGTAGTCTATTTGGGAGGTGACCCCAAGAAGCCCTGATGGGGGACAGGGAAGTGAGGTGGGGAAGGAAAGGCAGTCAGTGCATTAATGAGCAGCCCCCCCACTGTGGACAGCCAGGCTTGATTCCCAGAGACTCGGGGAGCATGCAGAGGGCATCTTGGAGTTGGGCTTCCTGTGGGGTGTTTGTCAGCCGACACTCATCTTGGGTCCGGGGCTCCTTCTGGGGGGTAACTCCCTGGCACTTCCAGCCTGCCCGACACAGGGGCTGAGTATGCTTCAACCAGAGGTAGCCATCAGAAACTTGCAGCTTCTTGCATCCAGATGCCTCCCAGTGGTAATGAGAATGCCCTGGGAAGGTGGGCAGGACACAGAGAGCCACGGCTGTGAGCCTCCCTCTCATTGCCTGTAGGGTACTACCTCTCCCCCATTCTCTATCCTTGTGGTTTGGCAAGTACCATCCCCTCCCTTCAAGTCCCAGATGGCATCAGTGGGTCAGAGATAGACATCTATCCCAGTCAACTCATGACAGCCCACCCTGGAACTAATGCCAGAATTTGGGGAAAGACACTTCTGCTGGGATTGCCCACCTGCCATGGTGTGGGCCACATGGAGAAAGAGAGTGAAGCCAACACGGACAAGAACTGAATCGAGTCGAGAGAGAGGACATCATTTAAGCCCCTGGATCCAGCTATACCTGATGCCAGTATCATTTTGGGGCCAATTACATGGACCAGTAAGGCACTGTTGTGTTTTTTGTTTTTGTTTTTTGTTTTGTTTTGCTTGAGGCAATTTGTGTTAGATTTGGGGGGTCTCTGGCAACCCAAAGAGTCTGACACCCATAATGTACTGTTCCAGGAAAGGCACATTTTGGACTCTGGCATTTGCAGAGCTTAGATGGGACATGGACCAGAGGCAGAAAAATGTTTGAGGTTCTGATGCCTTCCTCTGGCAGTGAGTCGGGACATGTGTTGACACAAATATACAAGAGCTCTAGTCATCTAGCCTTGGGATTGCTGGTTGGGGATTAACATGGACTAGTTATGGCAGTGCAAGGATCTCCTCCCCATATGCCTCCATGGTAGTGATGGAAGGCCCCTGGGCACAGAATGTGGACCAGATATCTTGGTGGCCTGACTTGGAACCCCCAGAGTCCTGTGTGCTGGGCAAGTTGCCATGGTGACATGTGGCTGCTGGGATGCTCTGTATAAAACTTTAGCATCGGGAAAGACTCCAGAAAAAGGTTCTAATCCTGGGTTCAGTGGGTAGGCTTTCAAGGGCTCTTAGGAGCCCTGAAATGGAAACCATTCAAGTGTGCCCACAGCTTTCATTGTATTTGCAAATGGGATTTGTGTCCCAGAAAACTTTGGGCTCCGGGGAATTCTTAAGTCAGAGGTTTCAAGTTATGCTTTTTGGTTACCCACGTTCCTCAGGAATGCCTTGGGGGTGAGCACTGAGTGGAGGAGGGGAAAATGGGCTGGGGAGATGTTTAAAAGCCGCAGGCACCTCTGG